TTTAGTTTGGATATCATCATTATGTCATTACATTATAATTATTAATTAACAATATTGTATTTGCCTTGTTGTAACAATGTAATTAGATGGATGATAGTAGGGCAGAGCGGAGCACAAAGTAACACTTGGTCAAATAATAAACAAAGTATTGGGGTTAGACAAACCATTTGTTTTTACAAACAAAACACAAGCCTCTCCTACAAATGAGCTCTGAAATTATGATCGCCGAACCTATGGTTTCAGTGCAGTGTTGCCAAAAGTGCCAGGAGTAAAAATGTTACTATTTACCCCACCTGCGGGGCAAGCTGTAACAGACAGAAGGTTAGTTGTAACACATGCTTAAAAAGGCAGATTACACACAATTTAAATCCAGTTTACTTTAAATAACAGCTATATTTTCTCAGTACCTAGCTCAATTTATTTTTATTCTACATAGCACAGTATGTTTACTTATTTATTGGATAAATACATTTGAATTTATTTGGATTATTATCCATTATTATACAATGCCTTTATTTGGAGTATTAGCAATAAAATATTTTTGTCAAAAAAAAATCGATTAAAAATCATTTTTTATTAAAAAAGTTCTCAAAATTAAAAAATATTGTGTTTGTTTAATTGGTGTTCAACAGTGTGTGGCTTAATTTTAACACCCTGTTACAACTAACCCCGCTGTGTCATGTTTTCCTCAAAACTGGCTAGCAGTCACTGTGTGTTTCTTACATCTTTCAAAATGGTTTTATCTTTTAGCCTAGAAGACGGTGATCACAACAATACAAGATTTCACGTTCATACTTTCACAGATTATTTTAAATAAAAAAATATTGACTATAATAAAAAATGCTTTCTCTTGTGTTTCTCATCCAAATTTCACCAAACTTATTCAATAATTGCCAGGAAGACATCTGCTGACACTGTGGTGAAAACCTCGGAAGTATGCCATGATCAAGCCTGAGCAAATACCTTAAAACTCTGTGTTACACTTAACCCCACGTTACTTTGTGCCCTGCGCTCCCCTATTGTAAATGTCTTCTTGTATACTTCATGTACAGTACAGTATGTTTTATATTGTGTGTTGAAGAGTACAATTGCAAAGAAATATAGAAATGACTAAAACTAGAGATTTTAGTAGTTTTCAGAAATCGTGATTTTACATTCAGTATTGAAGATTTCAACTGCAAAAATGTTGAAATATAAGACTTTTAGAGATGGTAGCAATCAAGAGATATAGTATCATATTCCAACTCATTATGTGCTGTGAATGATTTTTACAGCATTAAAGGGATCATCTTCAAGACAATACTTTCTGTATAAAATGTGTGTAAAATCTAGACTAAAATCAAAGAGAAACAAAAGTTACATGTTTTATGTTTAGTAGACGTAAATGAGTCGACAGAGAAGCTGACTTAAACTTGCTCAGAGAAACGCTGTTGCTGTCAAACATGGCTTACTACACTAAGCCAGTTTAATGGTGGAGGGATTGATCCAATAGGCCTATTGATAGAAGGTTTATAAAGAAATTTCATGCTCCCTTTTATTAGCATTTTGTAGTATTTTCAAAATATTTTATTATATATAGTATTTTATTTTAATACATTTGAGCTCTCACACAGCTCTCCCACCTTCTACTTACAACAGGGGTTGAGGAGGTTATCAAGCCATCCAGCTTGAAAGACGGAGAGGAAAAGACAAAAGTCTCTGCACGGGCCTGGCCTGAGGTAAAAGTGACACTCATCTGAGAGGTCAAATATTTCATACACAAAACATTTTAAAGACATAAATGCAAACAAACTATTTTATAAACTGCTTGGTGACTACAGCTGACAATGCTTGATTAAAAGTTTTGAATGAGCACATGACACTATTCAGGCATTATTCATTTAGTAGTCATGATAAAATGTTTGCTAATTGAAATAAACACATTTTGTATTATTCTTGGAATTTTATCAAAACATGATCTTATTTAAAACTGTTAACATTAAATGTAATTAAATACATGACCAGCACTTGAGCATTACTTAGGGTCTGTCAGTAGTGATCGCCTGCCTGATTTTTGTTAAAAGGTGGAGGTTGTACAAAATTTGATATAGGTGGTCACCTCCCTCCTACTTGTCTTTGCAGGAAAAACATCGAGTTACTGTAATAAGATGTGAGTGTTTCCCACAATAATAGAAAATAGTGATAGCTATACATAATTCACATATAAACGTTACTTGATTGATATAAATTCTTCTCTCCAACAAAGATGACTCTAAATATAGTCTTAATGCTTATACATATAACATATCTTAGCAATTCCATGCAAATGTCAACCTTGCCATGAAAAAAATAAGTTTTCACCAAAATACAGAACCCGTTTCTTTTTTTTTTTTTAAGCAAGTATTTTAAGTAAAAGTATTTTTAGCAAGTATTTTTAAGTAAAAATGTCTCTGTCAACTTTTTCAAACAATTATATTTGATTTACCAAAGTCACACAAGTGGCAATTCCACATTGGTCACATCCATAACGACACTTTTTCCTCATAAAGGCAAAAATATTACATAAAATAAAATCAATCATTTTTGTATTATAGAGAGCCAACTCTTATCATTTTGATGATCATTACTTATTTTAGGTCGTGCGGTTTAATTCAAAGAATTTCTACAAAGTATTTTCATTTAAAGTTCAAAACTTATACAGAACGATATTTTTCTGATCCCATAACTCTGTGGTCAGTTGTTCTGGAAAATATAAACAGTTTAATACAGTGTTAAACAAATATTTTTTATGTGAATTTATGTTTTGAGTTTTTGCTACAAATGTCACATCCATAACACTGGAATTGCTCATATATAAATATAAATCTAACTTATTTTCAGCTAAAATCTACTGTATATAATTAAGCTTTAAATTACTTTGTTTCATTTTGTTACTGGATAATAATGTTAGTCTTAGTTTTATGTTTTACTTTACACATATGTCACATGACTAAATGTAGGCCTAATAATGTTATTTTGAGTTTGTTCTGTTAGCAATTACAACATTCATTATTATTTTCTTCAGTTAAATCAAAATTACTTGAGATTATCTAATCTTAAAATGACAGTGTTTTATTTAGTTCCTGGACAATAATGTTTCAGAATCAGTTGGTGTTGTATTTACAAGTTTATTTCTTGTATTTATGTAGATATTTGTGGTGAAAATACTTTTCCTTATTATTGAGAAGTGAAAGATTAAAGATTATAGCTTGTATCTGCCTGTCTGTCTATTATATTTCTAGTTTAGATAGCTTGTCCAATATGGTGTTGGGATTTTGAATGTAAACAAGTGTTCTGGAATGCGCTGTCATAGAAACAGAAGAACGCAGCATTAAAAGTAGAAGACAGTTCAGAATCTCCTCATTGCGTCTTCTCATTGCAGTTGGTAATAGTAGTGTTCCCAGTGAATTCTGTTATTATGGCATTGAAAAGAAAGCGTTGTTCTCAAGGAACTCAGGTGTATGATTTACATACTCGTACACCTCCAACATCCAGCACCAATGTGGCTGAGAACCTTTCACCTGTTGGTGTTGGTGAGGAGATTGACATACAAGTGAGAAAGAAGAGGAGGTGGGAGAGTTTTGAAAAGCCGCTCTCCCTTTACGCTGAGGGTAAATCCAGTCACTGTTTGTCAATCTGACCATGCTTTGTGTTTACTAGATCTCTGTACATGTACATATCGGCCCAGACAGATTCTGTGGACATGTTTTGCTATTTCTGATGAGAATTTTGTTTAAAAAGTCTGCAGATTTATGAGGAATGATTTTGAGAGTAAAGTAACTAAAAACCGAACACATACAATAAAAAAAATAACTTTTTAACTTGTTTTAGGTTTTTAACACAAATCTAAGTAGAACCAATTGTTTGGTAATCAAAGTTTCTCATATTTTATCCACTAAAAGAGAAATCTTTACAACAATCTGTATTGTACATAAATCATTTAAATAATTGCAGATTATTAATAATATCAATGAAATATAAAAATGGTATAAATATCAATATTCAATGGACTCAATAATGGGCATAAAATGTGTATGATTCAGATTTGTTGAGGGCAAATTATGAGCATTCACTATAAGAAACCCAATTCATGACTGTTTCTGATCTCTAAGATGAAGTGTGTCTTTACACTTTACATCAAAATACAAATCAATTTTATAAGCCATTATCATTATCATTAATGCATGTCTTACATCTCTAAATACAGATGACAACCAGTGGATGACTTTTCTCAGTGGCCAAAAGAGAAAACGAAGTTGTCACAGCTCTCATGTGAACGATTTCCATCCTCAAACACCTCCGATATCCATCACCAGCCTTCAGTCCACTGATGTTGCTGAGGAAAATGAGAGAAAGAGGAGAAGGACTGACAGTCCTGAAAAGCTGCTCTCCTGTAAAGTCCAGAAGTCCAGCAGCAGCTCTAGTCAGGAGGACCAGACTCCTGTTCAGATCCACAAGAAGAGTTCTGAAGGTAAATCTAGTGGTCATTTGAGAATGTGTGGCCTTCTCTCATGATCCTCTTCAGTATGAAGTAGAGTACATTACATTAAGTTCTGTAAATATAAATATATTTTTTAAAAGCACTCTAAAAGTTTCAATCACTGTTTGCTGTAATTTGAAGTGTCCACCATATCAGTATTGGGCAGGTTCATTTTCACGATGTATTGAATTATTGAATATAGGCATAAGTCTATTCCACCTCAAATATTACACACGTGTCTGTCAGTGCTTGACATTTCACATCAGCTGCAATTATTCATCTTTTAACAGGTGACATTCTGGACCGGTATGAACTCGGCAAGGAGATTGGAGAGGGAGGAATTGGCAGCGTCTATGAAGGAAAGCGCTTGGAGGATGGCCTTGAGGTGAACAACCCCTTTAACATATATTATGTTCACTTTTTAGTGCATTTGATGTGATTATAACAGAAGTGTTGTTTTGTTGAACAGGTGGCAGTAAAAATAGTCAGAAAGCCATCGAACATGAAATACATCAACATCGTAAGTAAACATGTAAAGGCACTGACAACAGTATATTTGGGGAAGCAACACCGCCTAACTAATCTTTCTTCTAGGCTGGTTATCCTGAGCCCCTTCCTTTAGAGATCGGCCTGTTGATACTGGCTCATAGAGGCGGCAAGGTTCCAGAGATCATTGAGCTTCTGGACTGGCAGGACCAGCAGGATTGTTACATCATGATCCTGGAACGACCTTCACCATGTGTAGATCTGTTGGACTTCATAATGTCTCTCGGCTCCATCACTGAACGCCAGGCTCAAAAAATCATGGAGCAGGCAACAACGGCCGGTCTCATGTGCTGCAGACGTGGGGTATTTCACCGAGACATAAAGCTGGAGAACCTGCTGGTCAACACGGACACGCTTGAGGTCAAGCTAATTGACTTTGGCTGTGGGGCTCTTCTCCAGGAATCTGGCTATGACAGTTTCTGTGGTATGTATTAAACTTAACACCTGTAGTCTGGACTGTCAATTTGACCAATCATGTATTTTTATGTTACAGAGAAAACATGCTTTAGATGTTTCATGCTGAGACCAAATCTTGTTCCTTCAGGCACAAAGGAGTACTTCCCACCAGAGTACCACCTAGACGACGAATACCATGCAGAACCATCCACTGTATGGTCTTTAGGAGTTCTGTTGTTCCTGCTGCTGTGTCAACGATTTCCTGAAGTCACGGACACGCAGAGGATCGATGATGGAAACTGGACTGAGCCTGGATTGTCAGAAGGTAAGACGTCATTCATCACATCATAGATGAGCAGTTGTAGTTTAAATCATACAAAATGATGGATTAAAACTAAGAGTTGGATATTGGATAATGGTGACAATGTTCTGATTCTAAAGGAGAGTAGAGTCAGATCTTATAGATGAATAAAATGACAGGAGATGTAAAGTTGAAGTTGATAATGTGTTTCTCTCACTTCTTCCCACCATCGTTCTGCACAGAATGCTGTGACTTGATTCAAGCTCTCCTGCAGGAAAACCCAAGCCAGCGGATTTCTCTGGAAGAAATCATTCTCCATGAATGGTTTAAGGTACTGAACTGTAGATCAGCTTCTAATGATTTGGAAAATAGATTCTCCTTTCATTTAAAAAATGTTTTTTTTTTTTGTACATTTTATGGTTTTTGTTTATTGTGACGAATCTGAATCAATAACCTTGATTTGGTGTGTGTCTGAATGTTTCAGGTCAAGGAATAAGCAATAAGGAATGTAGTGCAAATGGATGGGAAAAATTGTTTACACCACTGAGCACCACAGTTCCCGACGCTAAAAAAGTACAGATTCAACAGTAGAGCTTAAAAAAGGACACAGCAGCAACAAAGAATCCCAGAAAAAAGGTCACAGCAACAACAGAAGATCCAGAAAAAAAAGATCAGGCCTCAAGAAATGATCCTGGAAAAGACACAAAAGATCCGGAGAAAAGGGCACAGCCCCAACAATGAAAACATTTGTAAATAAAAACATGAATAAAATATATTTGTCGCACCAGTCCTGTTTTCATCAAAAATACATCAAATCAGCCAAGATGCTGAAAAAGCAGACAGCAGTGAATGAAACACTTAAACAAATTACTTGAACACTTAAGTACCAGGACAACTAAACACATACACACTCACACACACACTTATAAACTGATGTGACTGTAACTGAGCAAGGTTTCGGGAAATTGTGAACAAATTTAGTAATACAGCACAATGTAGTAAAAAGTGGGTAGAGGACTGTGCAGACACTCTTTCTCACACACACACACATACACACACAGAGGCTTGAACATATCTCTTTAAGAAGATATATAAGTAATGATGTTTATACTGTACAGACTGTATTTTTTATTCTTCTACAATAACTTCGGGGTCATTTTCCTCTCGGGGACCAAAAAAAAGTTCCTGTAAAGTCAAGATCTACTGGTCTGACATTTCCACATCTATAAGATTGAATAAAAACGTAAGTTCAGACAGTATCAGTCAGAGGCCACTAGAGGACAGACACTAGCCATTCTGCTGGAAAAGCAAAGAAAATTGGTTCATTCCAGAACAAGTGTTGAAACCGCATAAGGCCTAAATGACCTTTAACCTTTGATCGGTTTTCCCTCAAGACTCAGTTTTATTACTTGAATTTTTTTTAAAAATTAGGATTTTTTCCACACTTTTCTTAACCCTGGATTACCTAGTAAATTATAAGCAGTGTGAAAGAAAAAGCTAGATTTACCCAGCGCTGAGAATGACCCAGAGTTGACCTTTTCGAGTTTTAAAATCCAAGACACAATTAACAGATGTAAGACTGTGTCGCGGGACCAACGGGATTCAACTAAAATAAAGTGGACAGAGTTTGTCGGGCATGCTGCTTACAATCTCAAAACATCAACAATCACACTCTTACGTAACATCATTAACTTTGTCATATATATAGGCGTTATAACCTGATTAACTAAAGAAATAAACTAAAAAAATTTCTGTGTGTGTGTGTATATATGCGTGCGTGTGTGTGTTGAGACATTCTGAATGATATCTCAATATCTCAAGCATTCAAACATCAGACAGCTTCTAGGCTTTTCGCACACTTAACCCTCTACCGCATGGTGTTGCCATATGGCAACATGATATTTGTGTTCATTCCCCTGTCACTGTTTCTTTAAGACCAACATTGAATTGTTTTAGTTGGAAAGAGAAGACCTTAGTGTGGCCAATGATGTGCTTTGGTTAAGTTACATGACATGGGGCCCTATCATACACCCGGCGCAATGTGGCGCAAGGCGCGGCGCAGTAGTCTTTTAGTAGTTTCAGCTTGGCGCAAGAGTCGATTTGAGGCGTTGTGCACAAAAAAATGTATAGTCCAAATTTATTTATTTTTTTGTTAATTAGATTTTCTATGGCTGGTATCATTTAGAGCTCCTAAGCATTTTGGAATGTAAAATTACAGAAGTGTGGTTACAATTGAATCAACTATATGGAGAACAATCTTTAAATGTTTATAAAAACAAACAAAAAATTATGAACTGAAATGAACAACTTGGATAATGAGGGGTGTAAATTATAATTTTTTGGTTTGGGAGGAGAAATAATACTTTAATTGTGAACTAAACAATATTGACTTATGGGCATTAGAGGTAAATAAGCTTAAATTGAGTCCAATTTTGTCTGTTTTAGTTTATTTTGAAATGTAATGAGCTGTTTTCAAATACTTTTTGTGCTCACTCCAGACTGTGTGGATATTTCCAACTTTCCTCAATCCACATCATCAAGTGAAGCCTCAGCTTCTTACAGACATACTCCAGTGGACAACAACTGGCACTTTAGTTTCGAAATACCCTGGAGTAAAATTCCATCAGAAATTACTAGAAAGCTGGAAAACAAAGAGAGGCCAACTGGACGTGAAAGACGTGAACTAATTCGGCTGATGGTAAGTGAGATCCTGACCATCTGCCCTACACCAGGAAAGAAACATCTCAGTGAAATAGCGAGGAAAATTGTTGCAATGTATCCTCAATCGTTCAAATATGTTATTGAAGATCAAGTTGTAGGTAGCGGTTATGACTCCCTTACCAAACAGCTGCAGAGTAGAGTTGATAACATGAAAAGGGGCAAAATCTCACTTTACCTGAAAAGACAGACATCCAGTCCAAGTGAGGGAGATGACACACCTTTCAAGATTAAGAGAGTAGACACATACGGCTGTATAAATTGGCAACCAAAGCAGCTGCCAGATGGTGAAACTGAGGAATCTCAAAAATGCATACAAGAAGAATTAAAGACAATGCACAAAAACAAATGCAAGAACACCAAAGATATTGAAAAAAAATGATGAATACTTTCTACAATCAGAGAAGGAACATAATAAGTGGAATGGATACACCTCTTCTGGTAGAAGAGTGGCCATATCTGTTCGAGATGTGTGGATTAATTATTCACTTCAAAGAGCTAACAGGACTGGATGTTGATAGAGAAGCTGTTTCAAGTAAATGTAAGAGAGTCATTTCATACCTAACGTCCAATGAGAAAAAGAGCAAAATCGAGGACGTCTTAGCAGGCATGGAAATTGCCAAAGCAAAGCAAGTAGATTCTGATCTTCCTGGATGTGTGATGCTGCTTCTGAAATATATTAATGAAGAAGAGTCCAAGATGTTCATGATAGTTGATGAGACAAGTCTGCCATTTGAAGTTGATCAACTGCCCAGTACACCTTGCATCGTTGTTTGGGTATGATTATTATTCACTCCCATTTAAGTAAAGTTTTTTTTAATGAACAGATCAATTATTTCTTGCTGGGGTTTCTAGTAAACCATAAAAAAATATTTTTTACTATTATTTCTTCATCAGGGTAATTAACTAAAAAGGAGAAATAGCCATGTAAGCACTGTTAACATTTTAAAATTTGACTAATGTGTGTGTTGTGTAATGTAGGGAATTCTCCCCTGACAGCTGGCTGCTTTATGATTGCTGTGGATCAGACCATTGTGAACGATGGTGTCACAAATTGTGGTGATGCCCTTCTGATGATGTTTGTGACCTACTACTGTCTCAACATCAGTTATCCATTGGAAGTTGGTGCAACTCTAGAGTTCATGCAAAGGTAAGCCTTCAAAGTGTAACTACAAAATAGATGCTTAGTAGGGAAAATGTGTTTAGATATGTGACCAATATATAAAATGATAAACTTTATTTACGAATCGGTTCATTTAATGAATGGACTTTAAATAACACAAGAATAGTCCATATTTAAAAAAAGCTATTTAATGGTAAATTCCTTACAACATATAATACATTTATGAAGTTTAAGGAGCAACTTCACACAAGCTCTTCTGGCAATTTTGGGAAGATGTATTGGTACATAACAAACTGTCTATTCCTTTTCAATAAATTACAATATTCCAATTTTTGAGAAATATTTAAGAAAGAGTTGCTTCGTGTATGTATCTTGTGGTGCAGCCATCATGACTTTAGTAATCGGTGGAGATGTTCACACTGGCAGCAGATGCTTCAAAGTCATTGTAGGCACAACTGCCTAATGGGAGATACTCAAATAGAAAGTACATCTCGATAAATTTAGATGCCATGTAAAAGCCATGTAATTTATTTCTGTAATTCAATTTAAATAGTGAAACTCATATATAGAATAGATTCATTACACAGACTAATATATTTGTGTTTGTTTGATTTACTTTTGATGATTATGGCTTACAGCTAATGAAAACCCCAAATATAGAATATTACTTAGGACCAATTAAAAATAAGATTTTTAACATAGAAATGTTTGACTACTGTAAATTAATAACATGTACAGCACTCAATGGTTGGTCGGGGCAATTTTTTTCATGAATTACTTTAGCAATGTGACGTGGGATGGAGTGGATCAGTCTGTGGCACTGCTGAGATGTGAAGTCCATGTTGCTCTGAAAAATGGCTTTTAGCTCTTCAGCGTTGTTTGGTTTAGTGACTCACAACTTCCTCTTCATAATACCTCATAGGTTCTCTTTCCATAGGCCAGAGTTTGCTGGCCAATCGAGCACAGTAATATTGTCCTTCTGACAGTGTGGACAGGTGTCAAATCCTCGATGAAGCTGGTCAGCATATGGAAGCAAAAGAGGACAAAAGACTGCTCATAAAAACTCTTAGTCAGTTTGCCAAAGTCCTTTTTTAAACTTGATATTTCCTTTAGAAGTGAGGAGAGGCACATAATCCAAGCTGCTTGAGGTCCAGTGTAGATTTTACAGTCAGTGGAAATATTGAGCTCTATGAGACAGTACTTTATAACAAAGGATATAACCTCCCCGGAGATTAACCAAATGGTTTATTTGGCTTACAACTCTTAATATCCTGCACACATTTGGTTCACACCTTTTCAGATGCCGATACTTGTTTGCATATGAAACAAGCCACACAATCTATTTATATATATATATATATATATATATATATATATATATATATATATATATATATATATATATTAAGGGTGGAGCCGAACCCATATACGGTATTCGGAAAGGCACGAATAGCGGGTTTTTACGAATACTTATTTCGAACAAATACTTGAAAAATTATTTGTATTTGGGAGCAAGAAAAACATTATATCAAAAAGCAGCGTTTCCTCATGAGACCACAGTGCATGCCCGCGTGAGTGAGTGAGTGAGAGAGTGAGAGAGAGAGAGAGAGAGAGAGAGAGAGACGCTCAGTCAGAAGTTGGAGGGCGGGGCGGAG